CGTTTTGACCTTTCACAAACTGAGGATGAAACGCATTTAAGTTAAACAAAACATTTCAAACTCTTAGCTTCTTGTTTGTCCTCAGGAAGCAGAAACAGTGGCATTTGGTTCAGGTGTGACTCAGATAATTCCTGTTTTTTAAGTTTTTCTCACTTTGTTATGTGAGTGATTGACTATGTGATGTGATTTTATTTGTAGCTGTTGTTGTTTTTTGAAAAGTTCCCACTGTAAGTTATGGTCATGTAATACAGTATGTTAGAAATGAATATTAAAAATGATGTCTACAGAGACACTGACATCGATGACTATCGCAAAGGCAAAAGTCACGTTGATGACAGTGTATAATCTGCAGCGACAGTGTAATTCTGTACCACCCATCTTCCTGTGTAATTATTACAACCATTAATAAAGAAAAAAGGAGGTCAGCACAACAGATGCTGTAAAAAGAAAGGAACAAGTGCCTTAGAACTAGGCCATGAATATGATGTAGGTGAAGGACTTTTTGACCATTGTGTAAAAACGTTGCTGCTGTTGAGTCTTAGTTACAAGACTAAATCTATTGTTGTGAAAGGTATGATGTAATAATGTTAAATTAATAATAATCCATGCTTCATTATAGACACTTTATGTATATAGTTGTGACAAAACCAGAGAGTCTTTTTAAAGATTTTCTCAAGCTGAACTGGGACTATTTCTCTAATCAACCATCTTGTTCTCTCAGTGAGAACATTCAGTGATGTACAAAACATACACCACAGCAGGGACACCCACTATTACTGAACCATTCATTCACAAGACGCCTGGTGCAGTCATCACAGCTGGAGACCAACGGTCTGCACTACCAGACAGGAAAGAAAAATATATTTAAAAAAAAAAATTAAAAAAAGTGTTGTTGATGTGTGTCTCCTGTTTCCATTTCCTCTTTTTTACTGCAATAATTTAAACTACACCTGTCAACAGGAACTAATCCAGATTTATATATATATATTTATATATACAATGTGATCTTCACCTCAGATCCCCTGCATCACATGTGCTGCTGGTTTTATCAACACCACATGAGGCCGGGCCAATGATTCACCCAGGAAGTGTGAAACACAAACACGAATCCTGGCAATCAGACAGTCCTGTTCAGGGGTGGGGGTCGGGGGGGGTGTTTAGGGGGGCAAATATTCTGTTCATAATACCATCAACTTACCGCTCTGATGCCCAGCCTTCGTTTATCAGTAAGGCCTGTGTGTTGGTGTGTGTAATCAAACGTGGCCCATAAAAACAACTCTGGCACACAGAGGCGATGCTGACTCCAGCATTGATGGGAATGGTTTTTGGCACTGAGGCAACACATGCCATTATAAGTGGACTCATTCACGACAGATAGATAACTCTTGAGCAATATTTGGCACACGATGTGGTGAAGGGAGCTGTGGAGATGCACGATAAGAGAAAGTGTTAAAGATTACAGAGCTGATAAAAGTACCTGCTTTAATATGAGCTGTGTAATGACCAACTGACCGCGTACAGGAAATGGACTCAGATTTCTACTTCC